ATAAACTGGCTGCGTGGCCCACACCCGCGAAGGCCAGCACTCGGAATGTGGAAGTGGAAAGATCGGGCGTTCAAGATCATCCTCACAGAGTTCAAAAGGGAATGCCAGCTCCAAACACCAATCAGACGGACCTCACCTGTGTCATCTCGGCTCCAGCCGAGACACAGTGACGTTTGTTCTCTGCCTCAGTTTCCCAGATGAGAAGCAGAGATGCTAACTATGATCTCAGAGAGCTGTATGGGAGGACTAAGATATGCAAGCAAAGTACCTAACACGTGTCCGGTGGGAATTCCGAATGGAGTTAAGTGGCACAGATTATTATAAGGATTATTCACTGAATGAATGTTGGAAAGAGAATATTGAAATTAGAACTGTCCCTGCCCTACAGATTTTATTCCACTAGCCCTGCATGCATAAGAACATCCTCTCTTTCCTTATGTCTTGCAGGACCCTGGAGGCTCTTAAATTCTGCAGCAGGGGTCAGAAAGTTTTCTATAAGGTGTAGATGGTAAATAAAAGCCCAGTGGAGTGGTACTCTCAGGAAGCAGAGGCAGGAGGCTCTCTGTGAGTTCAAGGCTAGCCTGATCTACAGAGGGAGTTCCAGGACAACCAGGGCTACGTAGTGAGACTCTGTCTTGAAACGCGCCCCCCCCCCCCAAAAAAAAAGATAAAGATAAAGGTAAATAGAAGTTTGCTCTAAGGTCTGTGCAGAGACAATTCACGAATGAACGAATGAGTGTGGCTGACATAATGACAGCTTTTCACAGAAACGGCGACAGCCAATCTGCTCTGCAGGTTCCCACGGGGCTTCATAAGGGGCTGGCAGCCCCTTATGACAAATGACCCCGACCTTCCCTTGAAGCTCCGAGGCAGGGATCTGAAGGTGCCATTATCTTTTCTTGCCCATGAGAACTTCTAACTAGCAACTGGAGAGGCTCCTGGGGGGGGGGGTCAGATGGCGTCCCCGGACACAGCAAGGCCAGGACAATGCAGCCCCAAGCTATAGTCTCTAGACAGTCAAAACAGGAACCAGATCGCTACACCACTGTCTCTGAAACGAATGATCCGCAACTGAAAAAGGACCCAAAAAAATCAAAACATGTGACGGTGGGTGGAGACAGCTGGGCTCCCCGGTGCCTCTGTGTGTACTCTGGGGCCCTCCATAGCCACAGGTGGTCTGGGCAGCCCCACCCAGAGCAGTGAGCTGCCTGGGCTTTCGGGACTTTCAGATCCACATGTCTGTGGTTAAACGGGGATACCAACGCTGCCTGGCCTTGTACTCAAGAGACTAAAATAAGAAAAGGGTGTAAAATTTATACCTAGGCCAACAGCCTCTTTAATCATTAACTGAATGAAAAAAAAATTACTAAAAACAGCTGACAATGTTCCTGGTTTTCATGGTTGTAGCAGTTCTGACCCCTGAATTCTGGCAGGTGTTCATTTGTGGTTTAATACCCACAATGCTGTGAGGCAGACATGGTCCTCCCCGATATTTCACAAGCCAGGGAAACAGGTTTGGAGAGGGGATATGCTCATGGCCACACAAGCTCTGGCAGAAGCTTGTGGATTGGCTCCCAAGGGTGGTGGTTTTTATGGAAGCCATTAAACAGGCATGATTGGTCAAAACTGGTGACCAGCTCAATCTTCAGCCTCTCGCTGGCAGAGAAAACCTGTGGCCCCGGCTCTGGATAATCACTGGGGATATTTTGAGGTCTATTGTATGTGTTTGCTAACACATATATGCAGTGGAATAATCCTTCTGTACACCGTGAAGATGTGTTGCTGTCGTTATTAACAAAAAGCTGATTGGCCGATGGCTAGGCAGGATTTTTGGGGCAGAGAGAGCACTGGGAAGAAGGAAGGGCGGAGTCAGGAAGTCAGGAGAGTCAAGAGGCAGGCATGGAAGAAATAACACGGGAAGTTCATGGACGAGGGGAATGAGCCTGGGGTAGCATATGGGTTAACAGAAATGGGTTAATTTAAGTTGTAAGAGCTGGCTAGAGACAAGCCTAAGCTATCGGCCAATCATTTATAATTAACAATAAGTGTAGCAGACAGCTGTTCTGGCTATGACTTTGTAACACCGCCCCTAGAGATGTAGCAGGTAACTGTCCTACCTACCTATGACCTTGAAGTGCCTGCCCCTGGGGTGTGGCTCGGAGCTACCCTTAAGACCTGAGACCACATAGGCCCCTCTCTTTTCTCACTCATGGGCTGGGATGGTGTGGACCATCTCCGCGGCAGAACAGTGTTGGACTGTACCTCAGCTTTCCAGGACCCTATGATAAATTTCCCGTGCTGTAGTGAGTCCCCCCCCCCCCCAATAAATTCCTTCACCTTTTAAGCAGACTCTGTGGATTTCTCGCATTGAATAAGTCTCTGTGTGGTTACTTAGGGAGTGGCTAGTGGGACAGAAAAGTCCATCTACACATACAGGAATAGATTTATTTTCCCCCTTCTAAAAACAACAAAATGCTAAAGGACATGCTGCTTGTAGCTGAGGCCCTTGTGTTCCTGGCCGCCTTGAGTTCTCCTGAAGTCGCCTCCTGTTGGGGTGGAGGGGAAGATGGCTGAGTTCACTACTCCTCCAGTCAACCCAGGGCTAGGTGGACACAGACACCCAACGACCATGGCCTGCAGCTGGGAAGAGCAGGCTTTAGCTAGGCCCCAGGTAGAGACTCACAGGAATCAGGGACAGCCAATCTTTGGGAAAGGGTTCTGGCCACATAAGCTTAGGAAACAATGGGTTGAAAGACACAGACTCTTGACACGAGACCAAACAGAGCAGGTGGTAAACCTCTGGGAGGAGGCAAAGGCTGTAAAGTTCTCTAGACCTTGTTGGATCTGAAACCCTTGTTTGTAGGTATCACTTGGTGTATGGTGCTCCCAGTGCCCTGGGCCTCTGGCACAGCAGGGGGTCAGTGTTTCTATCCAAGGGTATCCCTGTTCAACTGAACATCCCTGTACAGTCAGAGCTATACCACTTTCAGGATGTGGGATGCCTCTGAACTCTGTCTTCAGGGCCTGGAACAAAAGCAGTAGAATCCTTTCCCGGATTTTGGAGCTTTGGCTCCATGAGGTAGAAGCAGCTGCGATACACGTAGGCAAGCATGCGGCCTGGGCCTTGGGAAGACCTATAGCCCCCTCCCCCCTCCCCCTATCCATGAGACAGGGATACTGCACCAGTTCCTGAGCAGGATTAAAGGGGTCCCAGGTGGAAACAGTCTACCTCCGTACAGTCCTCATGCCTGGCAGGGCACCAGGGCAGGAAGCAGAACCCTAGAGCCACCACCCTTGGGAGTGAATCCACACTCTGCTGCCAGAGCCCGTGTGAGTGACCACGGGCAAGTTCCCAAGCTCTCCAAACCTGTTTCTCTTGCTTGTGAAATAGCGGGAAAGGGCTATGCCTGCCGCAAAGCATTGTGGGTATCAACCATAAGGGAGCACCTGTCAGGATGCTGGCGTCACAGAACATCCAAAGGCTCTGGGTCTTGGGAGCTCTCAGGCTGCAGGACACACGGAGGGTGGCTCGTTGAGGCGGCTTGGAGCCGCCGAGGCCGGCAAGTGCACCTCCTCCTCACTGTGTGAGAGGTAATCTAGGAGATGAACCACTCCTTAGGTCTGCGGACTGGTCTAGCAAATCACCGAACCCGAGAACAGGTCATGGAAGCTGCGGTTTGCTGCCAAGTGGGTAACCTGGTACCTGCTCTTCTCGAGCAGCATCTGGAGTGATGGATGGAGAGTCTTACAGCTCTGAGCCTGCTGGTTAATGTCAAGATCGATCTGAATTGCAAGGGGCACCCCCTATTGAACTTGTTGTGGGTGGAGAAAACCCCACATCACAGATGTGGTCTGTGTTGAGAAGTAGAGGAAACGTAGTGTTTGGTTTTCTAACTAAACAGATGCCCTGTGATGTGCAGGAATTATCTACTCAAATGCAGGTTAAATAAGAAGAATGAAGTCACATATCATGCCAAAAATGACACAGGGACTCTAAGAAGGAAGCCATGGGACCCGGATCTGACCCTTGGCCACCTTGAGAAGGAAGTAGTATCTTCCTAACCCCATCGACTGGCTGGCTGTGAGGATGAGTGAGGGGAGGGGAGACACACGACATGCCCCTCTTCCATGGGGACAGGCTGCTCCCAGTGACATCCTCCAGCCCCAATCCACAGTGTCCAGAGGGGACTGTGATGGGGCAAAGGAAGGAGCCGAGGGAGCCCCAAACCTCTGCTGTGGAGGCAGCCAGGAACCCCCAGCTCCGCCTGGATGGCAGCCTGCAGGGCCACCTCTGAGACATGCCTGCTTGCAGGGCACCCTCCGATGCCATCGCTCCCTCCCTTACAAGGATCACCCACCGCACACCAGAAGCCACCACTCCCCGGCTTGGCATAGAACGCCGCCACCACCTCACTGATCATAGAAACAGATGACGAAGACTGACATTCTGGGGCCCCAAGGTAATGCACAGGAACGCAAGCTTCCTGCTCCCTCTGACGATGGCTCCCCAAAAGGATGAGAGGTTTTACTTTCACCATCTTTCCTGCCTCATGGACCACTGAAAACTGAAGCGGGCAAGAACCAGGCGAAGGAAAAGGAAATGGCTTTGCCTATAACTTCCCAGTGAGCACCGCCAGGCCAGTGCTGGCTGGTGGGCCCCGTGCCCTTCAGCACCAGCTCTGAGGCCTTGGGCTGCCACTGGTCCCTCTGAAGAGAAGCGCTCCTGGCTCTCCCTCCACGCCTGCCTGGGCTCCTCCTGTGTGCACCCAGGCTTTATTGCTTCAATTGCTCCTACAACGTGGTCCTCTGAACACTCCATCTGACATGGGCACGACCCAAGCGAGCCAGCTCTATGAAATTCTCTAGAAGAGTGTGCATGCACGCACGCACGCACGCACACATATGCACGCACAGGCCCAGCCAAAACAGAGTGAGGCCGGTGTGGAAAGCCCAGGCCCAGAGAGGCGCATCCAGGGCTTCCTGGGCCAACAGCCACCTACCCTTTCTTCAGGTTCTTCACATATGCACTCTGGAGGGCGGCTTCCAAGAAATAAGTGAGCTCATAGTCAACTGAGGGACTGCCTTTTAGGTGCCTCGATGTGCTGTTGTTTGAGGTCTGAGGAGGAAGAGTAAAGGTACAGTGGTCATCTAAGAGTTCAGAGGCGGCCGGACAGGACATCAGGTGTAAAAGATTACATCTGAAAAGCACGTGGCTCGGAGCAGACTTCTATGAAAAGGAGAAATGTAAAGAGCTCCTGACATAACTGTCCACCAATGACCCGAAGGACCTTGGGGAGAGTCAACTCAACCAAATCTCTAAGCAGCCTCTGTCAGAAAATGGGTGCTGATTGTAATCTCCTCCTCTTTTCTTGATAGCCAATCAAGCCAGAGGCTCCAGGGCCGGGGCGATTTGGCCCTCAGAGAACATCTGGATGCTGCACTTCGAGGTGTGAGCTGCTAACATCATATAATATTAGGGTGGCCCTCATAGCAAAGAAGATTCCAGACCCAAAAGTCAAAAGCAACGAGGTTAAAAAAAAATCCCTTGATTAATGACTTGATGGCCCAAGGTGGAAGGACCCATGATGAGAACAGGTGGCAGCCGATTTACACAGCAAAGGATGTCTGGACTATTATGGCTCTCAGCTCCCATTTACCCCTTCCTTTGCAAACTAATTCTAACTCACTCTGCTAAAGAACCTTCCACCTGCCAGACAGTGGTGGGGCCCGCCTTTAATCCCAGCACTAGGGAGGCACAGGCAGGTGGATCTCTGTGAGTTCGAGGCCAGCCTGGTCTACAGAGTGAGTTCCAGGACAGCCAGGGCTGCACAGAGAAACCCTGTCTCAAAGGGGTGAGGGGAACCAAACCAAAACCAAAAAAAATAAACAAGCAAAATAGAACCTTCCATCTCGCCTCGACTAAATATCTACAAAGCATAATTTCTACTTGTGCGCCACAGAGACGTACACAGGTGTTAGAGATTATGCCCTGGCGTTCCTGCCAACACTACTCATTGGCTGCACGAACTCGGGAGGCTGTATAACGTCTCTCTAATTTTGACCCTCTTTATCTGTAAAGTGGGCATCGTAGCAGCACCTGTTTCATCCCCCCCATGGAGAGGGTTAAGTGACAGAATGTATATAAACCCCTCAGAGCACTGCATGACGTAACAATAGGTCCTCCTTGCGGGGAGGAGCTGAGCTCCTCCGAGAGGCACACTGGGGGTTGATGCCCTGTGTACCGTTAAGACAGGCCCGCCCCGGGAGGGTGGGCTGTGGCCCTGGGAACTTGTTCAAATCCTGCTGGCTGCCTCTGTCCACCTCTGAAAGGCTTGGAGAATGGGGACCACAGCCCCTCTTCCCTGGAAGCTCAGCAGAGCTCTCCCGAGGTGCCGGAAAGCAGGGAAGGATGAAGGATGGAAAAATCAGCCTGATCCTGTGTTATGTCCAGGAGACCAGTGGTTTGATCTCACTAAACTTCATTTACTACAGGGCCGCAGAGGCGTGACACCTTTGACCCAGGGCTGTTGTCGGGGGTGATCAAGTGAATAGATACAAACAGGCGTTGTCACATCTGACCCTGCACCTTCAGCTCACCCTGGGGTTCCTGCTCCCTTGAGTGTGACACGGACCCACTTATTTATTAAAGGTCTCCTCCTGTGGTAGAGTTCCTAACAGAACCGCTGTACCGTAATGGGTTCTCCAACCAAAGGAGAGAGTCTGGAGAGGAGGCGCCTTCTTCTAACATCCAGGAGGACCAAGGAGGTTTGTGCTCAAGAGGGAGCAGCTATTTGCACAGTACCCCATCCCCAGCTCACCTTCTCCAGCTCCTGCAGGAAGACCTGAGCCACCCAGGAGGCCCTCTCAAAACAGGCGACCACTTCCTCCTCCCGCTCAGTCAGGCGGATGTGGGAGGCGATGGAGTTGGGCAGACGTTCCAGGGAGAGGCCTGCAGGGAGAAACAGAGAGCCTCAGACCTGCCCTGCTTGGGCCCCGTACTCCAGGCCCTTCCCAGGGGCACAGGGTAGGCGCATCTGAGGGGATGCATGGTATGGAGCAGCAGTGGGAGACTGAGGTCCACGGAGGGGAGGGGAGAAGCTGAAGCAACAGTGGTGTTAGCAGCAGCCGGGAGGGAGCAAGCAACAGCCCAGAGAAGGCACCGGGGCCCCACATGGCGGGGTCCACTGTGCCAGCCCTGCCCAGCCCTGCAATACAAACAAGGTCAGCCCCAGGAGCCGACCGTTCACCTCCGGGGAGTTATCTGTGTGACCAGCTATCTGCTTGCAGTGGACACCTGCTGCTCTGGCCTTGTCTTTCGGCAGCAGCATCCGGCTTTTCCTCTGACCACGGCCATTGTCTCAGCATGGTGACAAGCTAAGGGTAGCATCATGGCCCAATACGGGCCAACAGAAATGGTCTCATGAGTGCTACTCATTTCACCGGCATTGTTAAGCTGGTGCCAGAGGCTCACCTGGAAATGCTAGAGAAAATCTGCCTTAAAAAGTGTTCCAGGGCTGGAGAGTTGGCTCGGCAGTTAAGAGCATTTGCTGCTCTTCCAAAAGCCCGAGGTTCGATTCCCAGCACCTGTATGGCATCTCACAAGCTTCTGTAACTCCAGTCCCAGGGGAGCCAATGCCCTCTTCTTACCTCAGTGGGCACCAGGCATGCACATAGTACACAGACATACATGCAGGCAAACATCCATACACATAAAATCATAAAAAAAATTAATCTATAAAAAAAACTTTTAATATCTAGCCAGACTTGGTGACACATGCTTATGATGTTAGCACTTGGGAGGCTGAGACAGGGGGATCATGAGTTTGACGGCTACCTGAGACAACTTACTAGGACCTCATATCAAGAAAACAAAAACAAAAAAACAAAACAAAACAAAACAAAAACAGACCAAACAAACAAAATAATATCCACACAGAGTAAATTTAAATGACACTATTCAAATGCATACATTAAAATGATTAATTTTATGCCATGTCATTCTCTTTACCGCAGCTAAAAATGTCCTTCAATTAATAAGCATATAGCTCCAAGGGCCAGACAAAAGTTACTAAACCAATCTGCAAAAGACAAAGGAGGAAAAGTATTATTAAACATATTGGGGTTTGGGGAGAGAGAAAGTCCACATAGAATAATGATAGGAAGCCGGGCGGTGGTGGCGCACGCCTTTAATCCCAGCACTCGGGAGGCAGAGCCAGGCGGATCTCTGTGAGTTCGAGGCCAGCC